GGTTGTAATTTTATCCATGTTGTGCTTTCTGTTACTCTCATATTCTTCCTGTGATGTAGCTTCAATTATAGGACCTTAATCTGGGGCTTATTTGTCTTACAAACACTTATATTCTCTCAAGCTACAATCCTTTCATTAGCATCTGGAAATAAATGATTAGCCCTTGGTGCTGGGTTGATACCTCTTTCAGTCCTGTTACATCAAGCATGGCTGATTGTTAGGGAACATTTATTATATGCTTGGTACTGTGATAAGTGATTTTCATGCCCTGTTTTACTCACTCTTCTCTATGAGGTAAGAATCAATATCTCTCCTATACAGATGGGGAATCTGAGGATCAGAGAGACTAAGAACTTGCCCTTGGAAGGTCACATGGTAAGAGGCAGAACCAGATTTTCATCCAAGCCTGACTCTAAAGCTCACACCCTTAACTCTGCCAATGCTTCTCACAGTGGGGTCCCGGGACTACAGGCATCTCCTGGGAACTTGTTGGAAAAGCAGATTCTTGGGCCCCACTCCAAACTTCTGATTCTGAAACCCTGAGGCTGGGTCCTAGCCCTCTGTACTTTAATGAATCCTCCAGTGATTCTGACATACTAGGTTGAAGTTCAAGAACTATTCCAAGTCCTAAGTTTAATATCTGGTATTGGATAAACATATTATCTAGTATCCCATTCATTTTTATTCTATCACTTCAGATTATCCTCAATCTTGGCATGGATTCTTTTTCCTTAGATTACTTTGAGTTTGGGGAAAGGAAAAAAACACCCTGAAAAAAGGGTCTGTTACCTTTATTGTGGATTAATTTTTGAAGTAGTGTTAAGCAGACCATGGATTATTTTGAGCAATAAACTTGAAGGGCAAACCACCATTCAAATTATTTTTATTGCATTTTGTGGTCTTGTTGGACTCTTACCCTTTCCTGATTAGTTGAAATAAAAGAAGAAATGGAGGTTAGTGAAATTAGTGAGCTTCAAAACCTACTTCACGAATGCTGAAGATATCTTTCCTTTGCATATGACCCATTGCTTAAAAGACGGAAACGTGAGATAATATTCTTTTTATCTCACTAATTAAACATAAAGCTTGACTGAGAGTGCTTCAGGGATGTGTCCTCATCAGCAGGGCCTGGCACCTATGCAGCGTTTAATTCAAGAAACCTAATTTAATTAGGGCCCTGCCACTGGGTCGGCTGCAGAGCCGCCTTGGCTCTCTGGCCTGAGGAGAAATGTGCAACCCCTGCTCTTTTTATTTCAAGTTAGCCTCATAAAAGATAAGATGTCCAAGGAGGGAGAGGAACTTTTGCTTCTCTATCATGTTTTGCATACGGTGCTAATCGAGTTGACAGTCTTAGACCACAGTCTGTTACTGCAGCATCTGAGCCTTCCACTGGTATTTGGGGAAGGGATTGCAAATGTCAGATGGCTCCTCTTTGCCCCTGTGGCTCTGGAAATATGGAAGTGAACTGATCAGGGGGAGCTCTTCCGTCTGTATGCTTGAGTAACTGCATGCAACACAAAACTATGAAGGAATAAGGTATTCAGATCCTGCTGGTAACGGCTACACCATCTCTCCTCATTTCCCCTACCTCATGTGCAAATAGAGGAAAATGTGAAACTCTTCGGCTTCCCTAATTTCTGTGATTTGCCCTCAGAAGTTTTTTGTTCCTGCTTATCACGGGGAGAGTCTTGCTTGTGTCAATAATTTCTGGTTCTTTCTGCCTAAAAACAACAATGGATGATTTTTGAGCCTTGAGATTATTCCAGACCCTTCTTTTCATAATTAAAACAGAGAAAGTGATGATGGTTTTTTATTTTTTTGCAATAATGAGTCCTAGCAATCAGGAAAGATTTGTTTTTCTGGTTCCTGAAACTTCTCCTGAGGGTAATTCCCAAATTGTTCTCAGGACTGAGAACTGCAGATCTGTGTACTTTTACCACATTCTGGATTTTGAACATTTACCATTTTTAGTTCTCTTCCTCCATCACAGTGGAGGAAATACTGTGTAGGGAACAAATCATGGAAACAAGTGCAAGACAAGACAAACATAGTTTTGAAAGCTGGCTCCATTCTATACTAGCTTGGATTCATTTACTTTACCCACTTGAAAAATAAAGAAAAAAAATCCTTCTTTTCTGGAGCTATTCAGATAACTAATTGAAATAATACACTTAAAATCATCTAAAACAGTTCCTGCCACATAGTAGGTGTTCAATAAATGTTTTCTTTCTGTTTTTACTTAGCATTTGCCTTGCTTGTATTTGACTTAAAGGACTTGATTTCTCTTCTCATTTCATTTCAGGAGCAAATAAGACATTGCTACCTAAAGACTGGTAGATCTTGGCTCAAACTGCCTTAAGGTGTAAGCTTGACAGCTTGCTGTTTGCAAAGATGGGGGTTTTAGGGATGTTGAAGGTCATTTCCACAAGAGAAAAAAAACTCCACCCTTTTCATGCTCTCCTTTTGCAATACAGCATGTTGGCTGCAGGGTGATGTAATAGGAACAATGAACAATGGCATTATAACAATAGCTGCAATGGTATGCAGGAATTTATGGTGCACCTTATGTTCTTTGCAATCCTTACAGCAACTCTGCAAGACAAATCTTATCTCCCTCCATCTTACAGATAATGAACGGGAGCTCAGATAGGTTAACTGACTTGTCCAAGGTCACACAACTATTATAGAAGATTTGAGAGACTCCGAAGCCAATGCTGATTATTCAAGGGAGAGAAGGAAGGAACAAGGGAAGGCAGGAAGGAACAAACAAAATTAAAGAAAGACAGAGAGCAAGAGAGGAAAATCAGGTTCTCATGTCAGATGGATAGTCTAGCAGTAGCCTCTTTTCCTATTACTAGCACCTCTTGCTTCCTCTTTCCCAGGGAAATGGCAGCTATGGAAATAATTTAACCCACATAACCACTGTGTTGGAATAACTCTGTCTTGGTGCTGCTGTAATTTGGTTTACAATTATAGCTAATCGAACATCTTCAAAGTGAGCTCAGTGCTTCATGCACGTGGAAAAAAAATTAATGTGCTCAGCATGCAAAACTATGATCACATAAGTTCCTTTTTACCAGCAGAAAAAGAAAGCAATTAGTAAGCCATTTTTCAGCAAGGATAAAAAAAAGTGAGGGAAAAAAAGAAAAAGAACATGGTCTTGAGACAAGCTCTACGATGATCTCTGGGCCCCATTAAAGGTACAGTGATGAAAAGGGTTTGCGAGCTACAGGTTGGCATCTGTGAAAAGGTTTCCCTTCTCAGGAATCAAGACACAGTAGTCTCATTATTTGCAGCTACTTGACAAGACAAGAGCCAGAGGGAAGCAGCAAATAAGGAAATATGGTGTGGAGTGAGGAGGTGGCTAATTAAAGGAAACAAAGACAGGGAGCTTGACAAGGTTGTTCTAGGAAACCCCCCTCTAAAAGAGGGTATTTCATAAGCAGACAGTCCTTCCTCTGGATACGGCCTCCATTTACTGGGAACCTGGGAGGAAGCCTGGTTTACCCCAACACTGTCCCTATTATACACACATTCAGCATTACACCCACTGTCAATCCTTCTATCGAAACGAGTATGTATGTATGTGTATATATGTTTGAACCTTCTAAGGCATGTCTTTCAACTGAACTTGTAGCAGGATTAAGCTCTGAAGCCCAGGCTGAGCGCTGGCTCCGGAACAGAGGGAGTGCTGTGGAGACAGGTGCTCTGTTATCAGCCCCCTTTGCTTCTCTTCTGTCTTTGCTGGAAAGCCTCATGCCTGTGCGGCCACTTCAGGCTCCCTGCTCCTGCTTCTTAGAAAGCCCCTTGGCAACTTGCTTGGTGGGGTAGAGTACTTGTGACTCCAGAATAATTAGGTGGAGAGATGAAAAGGCTGGGCACAAAAAGGGTGAATCTAATGGGCAGTTACTAGGGTTTTAACTTCTATCCCTGAACTCACATTGGGCTAGTTAGCCAAAGCTCTTCAAAGCATGTGGGGACTTTTGAATTTGCAAATACAGGTCATAACAAAAGGCTCTGAGGGGTTTTAGAGGTGGGTTGCCAATTTATAGAAATTGTCCTCAAGAAGTATAATTTCTAATTGGTCGGGGAGAGGGGAGGACAGAGATGTTGGCCACAAACACTGAAGGAACAATCGGCACTTCTCTGCAGTTCTATTTGTATCCCTGTCCGTTTTACTCAGGAGGAGGAGAAAGCAGGTTGGTCCACATGCGGGCCCTATAGTCCTTTCATTGCTCTCCAGGCCCCTAGCTGTCCTCCCAGGATTTAGAGTGGAGATTCTCAACCTGGGGAAATCCTGTGCCCCAGGGTACATTTAGAAATGTTTGGAGACTTTTTTTATAGTCATGACTTAGGGGAGCTATTACTGGTATCTGGGTGGGTAGAAGCCAGGAAGCTAGTAAACATCCCACAGTGCATAGGACCACCCCCGAAAAAACTACCACCCTTCTAAAATGTCAGTAGTGCTGAGATTTGGAAACCCTGATTTAGAGGATACCCCTCTTCCTTTATAATTTCATTTAGTAGGTTAAAAGCTGTAATTATCACACTGAATTTTCACAGTTTTCTGCCTTTGTTTTCCAAGTCTGTCAGTTAATGGCAATGCTGTTTTGTTTTGGTGGACTCATTCCTGTCTTCCTGGTTAGATGAGCATGGAGGGCAGGTTTCTCATTTTTTGAAGGTAGCAGATACCTCTGATATCCTCCCAGCACATCGTGCTGGGCTCTGGTATGAATGGCAGACCTGCGTCCATGGCCTGGGTTCATAACTGTGCAATGGCATTTATGACATCTGACAGCAGTGGGTTGTCCAAGGGGAGCATAGAGCACTTGGTATGACATAGAAAGGAGGCTAAATAATTAAGTGCTATATTTTTACAAGCTTCTTGATCAGAAGGCTATGATTAAATCTTTTTATCAATAAGTTTGAAAAAAGGTGGACATCTCAGTGGAATGAAGTACACTTGTTGGAATGAAATACACCTCTGAATCAATTTCGTGTGCCACCAAAGAATCTTTAATCACAGAGCTGGACACTAGAAGTAACATAATGAGATAAGAAAATGAACGATATTCTAAGAAATCAGACCCATGGCTCTCAAACACAAGTCTACATAATTCGGTCAAGGAAAACATAATAATTGCTAAGTGCCCACCATGGACTTAGGCCACTTCTCCAAGTCAGTAAAAATCTGTTATTTCATTTAAAAAATTAAAACCAATTCTTCAAATATATTCTGTCTTGGTTCTTTTGCATTTCATTTCTTAGCCACAAATCCAAAGTCTGACTTGGGAGGGAATTAAATAGGAACAGGATAAACAAGCCAATTTAAGGGAACCTTACAGGGTAAAATATTATAATTGGAAGCAAGCCTGCCATGGCTGGAATTGTTGCTGTCAGTGTGAGGGGAAAATGCTCCTTAGATATATATGGAATGCTGTCAGCTGCTGTCCTCAAAGCTGCCACTATTCCGGCAAGAATGAAAATGCATCGGGCTCATGGGATCAGACACATAGCCTGCAACAGAAAAGAAGTTCAGCTGTTACTTATTGGCTTCCCAGCCCATCTCTCCATTTTGCATAACCAGTCTCATCCAGTGCAACATGCTAGGCAGCTTCTCCAGCCTCATGTGAAAAAGAGTTGCTGGCAAGGAGTTGTAAAACAAAAGGAAAATTTTAAACAAAAACAGAGAGTGGAGGCCAGAGGAACATAAATGATGGATGTCTGATTTGGACCCAAGCTAGCCAGGTGACATTTTGAGTTTGGGGTAAAGAAGAGTACAGTTTGGAAAGGGGGTATATCATGACAGCTAAAAGCACAAGCTTTCATGACAAGCAAATCTGGGTTTAAATCCTAGCTCCACCTCTTACTGGTTCTGTGACTTTTGCTGGCTTAACCTTTCTAAGCCTCAGTGTGTTCATCTGTAAACAGGAGAAATAATAGTACTTACTCATAAGGTTGGTGATGCATGCCAGACAATTAAAACAGTGTCTGACACAACACATGCTAAACAGGTGAAGGCTAGAAAAGGAAGGTGGAGAAAGCAATAGAGGGAAGGAAAGGGCCATTATCTATGGCAGGTCAGCTCTGGCTGTTTTTTCTTCTCCCTGAGAGCCCAATATTTAAATGTGTATGAATGCTTAGGTCTAAATACCAGTGGCATTTGATGCTCATTGAAGCAATAGCCCTGGTGTGTCTGGAGAATGGAGTAGGTGGCTCAGGATCATGAACAGGGAAGCAGTCACCTTTCTTTTTCTAGTAAGGAATCCATTCATTGAGTGGGTGAATACGGACATAGCACTTGTCAATAGCTATTGCTGTGTTTGCTCCCCCTCGATGGCTGAGTTTTCAGAACCAACTCAGCCATCTCTATTTTCATCAAGACATCTAGTGATATGCACTTGGAGAGGTGTATTTATTTTCATAAGACAAGTCTCTGTCAAAATCTCTTAGGCAGCATATGAACTTTCCTGAGAGGAAACACCACCACTGTTCTGCTAGATAGCTCCTCTCTCACTCACCTCTTGGGGGGCTGTCCCTGGTCCCACGTGAGGAGGGTTGTGGTAGGGGGAGGATGAGATGAGGGAAAGCAGGATACACATCACCAAATCCTAATTCTGGGTGAACTAAAACAGAACTTACAACCAATAGTAAGAATATTTCCTTTTGTTCAGCTTCACGTTGGGACTTCATTCCAGGCATAGACAGATGCTTTAATAAGCTCATAATCTTTTTATTTCTACCATCAACCTTCTAATGCAGCACATGTGCTTTTATTGGCCTGTGATGCTCCACGGCTCTCTTCCTGCAGGACTCCAATGGGAACCCAACTGTGAGTGCACTCCCTCTAGTGTGGGCAGGCTCTCCCTTGGGGTGCATAGCAAAATCAGCAGGGCACAGATGCAGACATTTATTATTGCTGCCACCACTGTCAGAGCTTAGGGACAGGTATGTTGCACTTGTGGAGCCATTTGGCTTAAGAGGCACCCAAGTGAAATGCGACCATAGGCTTTGGGAAAAGCCTGAACCATGTCTGCATGTTTTGTTGCTTCAGGGTGAAAGGTCTCAAGTACAGAGAAAATAGCTATGCACTTAATTTTATCTTCATTCTCTAGCCCTGCTCTTCAGGGGGAATAAAAGAAACAGTCCATAAAGTTGCTGCTACACCACAATTGGTTTATGAAATGGAAATGCAGGGCAATTAAAGAGTTCTTTCTGCTATGATGTTATGTTCCTAGTGGGAGACATTAATTATATCTTCTTTGTCTATTGGGGCACTCACTTCAGCCAACCACTTTGATGTTTTCTTCCACTCCTGGTATAGATAGGCACTGGAAAACCCAACTTTTTATTTTGGCATCACTTTTGTCTTACTTCTACATCTTGAGGAATTCTGCTCAAAGTCTTATTCCTTTAAGAAACAGATCATTAAGTTAAAGGAATCCTTCGTCTTGAAACTCCACCATGAAAGGAGAGACTTCTGGTCAAAGCACACATTTCAAAGAGTGCCCTATATTTTGTGGTTATACAGTCACATCAGTAAAGGTTTGAAAAAACAATATTATATCTATAAAAAATGTGATGATGTGACACTTAGAGAACATTTTCCCCTGTTACTGAACTGGCCAATTATGTTGTAAAGCTGATGGTAAAAGCACTTGGTTGCATTCCAGGCATGTACTAGGAGTCAGAAGCACAAAGTTCCCTTTCTTTAATGTTCTCAAGTAGTTTGTCTGTGTCTATCCAGAGCGATGTTTCTTTCTTGACTTCTTTAAGGCTTCTTATTGCCTGAGGTGGTGATGCTCTGCAGATGAAGTCCACCGGTAAGGGTCCCGTAGCTGGTGTCTCCAGGGTCTCTTGCCATCTAAATCAGAGAACTGGGAACACATCGTCCAGTCCGTTCTTCCCCAAACCCAGTTCTTATAATAAACTTGATCTCTTTAACTGGCAAACATTTTTTCAGTCCTACATATTGTTAGAGGAAGTTCCTATGAATAAACGAGCTCATTGGAGTAAAAGTCCAACTAAATACAAAGCCTCTCAGGCTTAGAGGCTGAAGAAAGGACATCCACAGGCCTAGAACATCAGTATGGCCAATGATGATAAGGGTGATTACCCATCCTCTGGCTACCTGCATAGAACTGTGTTAACTATTTCAAAGAACTTTATTAATTCTTTCTGAAGTAGTGCTGTGCAAAAGGGATCCCAAAAGATACACTTCACCTGTTGTCCAGCTTTTTGAGGGAGTGGTTGGTTCTACATTTTACTGTTGGTTACCTGCTAAAGAGGAAGCAATCTCCTAGCATGCAGAGTAATTGTGGAAACCCATCTCTTGTTTCTCCTCCCTCTCTACATGCCCACGATGTGGGGCTTAGAGCCCGAGGACCGGTAAGGCGGCAACAAGGTGTTTGGAATGTCATGAGATACAGGAGATTGTTTTCATAAATTTATACTTTTTTCCATGTGTGCAAACACTCCCATATACTTGCACATACACTGACAGACTTATGCACACACACACACACACACACACCCCATTAAACTCAAAGTAAATGTAGAGTTATGCAAGATTTACAAGATCAAAGTTTGCACTTTTATAATACTGCAAAGCATCTTTTATTTCTAGTTATTACAAAATAGAACCTTTTGTCCCTTTTTATCAAATAGATATTACCTTCCTAGGGTTAGTTTTCTTAATCAATCTGAGGCATCTGTATACTTACCAAATTTGTCAACAGGTGAGAACTGAAGACTTCTCTTCATCTCCTCCAAAGACAGGCCTTGAGAGGTACATTGTCCAGCACTGAAAAATTCCACAAGACACATGATTTCACACTGTGAAAACCATGGTACTGGCTTGCTAATGACATTTTTATAAAACAATTTATTTACTCAGCATAGATTTCCAAGAACTGGCAAAGTGATATAATGACTAGTTGGAAAAGAGTTTAGAATTACTTGGAGTAAGTCACATCTAGATGTGAACCTCAGCTCTTTCAGGTAGGCTATAATTCCTAGCTGTGTAACCTTAGGCATGTCACACCTTCTGAGCCTCAGTTTCTGTATCTATAAAATGGGAAAAGTGCATAAATAAATTTGTAGTTTATTTTGATGAATAAATATAGCAAAAAGGAGTGTTGAATCTAAAATTTGGGTTAATACTCTTGCAAGCCTTAAAAGGAATTAATAATCAGGATATTATTATTTTAGTAAAAATTTAAATGAAACATATCCCAAGAGCTATGGTTATTATTATAATGACAATTATGAGAGTGATAATAATACTTAATGCATGATTCCTATGTATTAAGCATTTACATATATCATCTCATTTAATCCTTGTCACTATCTAATCACTACCAAATCATTTCTCTTATTTTACAGATTAGATTACTGAGGCGGGGACAATCAAGTAACTTGTTACACATGTTTGGTAAGTGGCTTATCTAGTATTCAAACCCAAGCCTTTTAGATTCCAAAGCCTTTGTGCTTGTCCACTATTCACATGGGAATTTCTGCCTAATTTCTGGCCTTTATCAATCCTCTTCTTCCTCCAATTCCTCCTACTGTTTTACCATTTTGGTTGACAGGGTTAGATCCTCTTCAGGCTCAAAAACTGAAGTTATCAAAACCCTCACTTGAATGTCTAATCTCATATGTCAGTCAGTTGCCAGTCTGTAGTCTCTCTTGTGTCCAGCGCTCTCATGCATACTTTAGCATCCTCAAGGAGGCTACTCTAGTTACCCGCAGAACTGGCCTCACTGTGTCTACAGCAGAACTCTTAATTTCTCCTGTCTCCAAGCCAGTTCTCTCATCCCAACTACTGGCACCCCATTATGTTACTTACACCATAATTCTTGGAGTCATCCTTGGTACCTGTCACATGTCTCACTTAATTCAAATCTTTTCAGCTTTGCTTCCAACATGTGACCCTAATCCATTCCTCTCTCTCCTCCTTCAAGGTCTACACCAAGTAATCTCTTTCTTGTCTGGACCTCTGCTATTTGCCTCCTAACTCAGTCTTTCTGCTTTCACTCCTGTCTCCTTACAGTCCATTCCCATGTATTATCCCGAGTGATCGTTTCAAATATAAAGTAGGGGAGGCCATTCACCTACTTAAAACCTTCCAATGGCTTTCCAGTTTATTTAGAAGAAATGCAAAAGCATTACCCTCACCTATAAGGCACTGGTCCTGCTCCTGCCTAGCTCTCCAAACTCAACTCTACCTGTATCTCCATCTTCCACTGAACACTTCTTTTTGGCATTCTTTCTTTCCCTTGAACCCTGACAGCTCTTTCCTGATCCAGAGCTTTTGCATTTGTTTACTCTGCTTGGAATGCTCTTCTTAAGGAACCATTTGTTGAACCCTTGTCCTGCTGTCATGGACAACCAGCTCCTGTCATTGAGGTCTCAGTTGGTATGTCATCTCCCCAAGAGGCTTCCCTGACCACCATCCCAAAGTGGCCATTTCCCTGCCTCTGGTCACTTTCTATCACATCACAGCACCTCTTTCTTTCAGAAAAATATAAAACTATTTTGCATATTTACTCATTTTCTTCTATTTATATTCTTTCACACAATGAGGTTGGAAGCCTTGTCTATATTGTCTCCCTTATTTCCTGTTACATATTCAGCATGCAGAACAGTGCCTGGTACATAAGACAAGCTAAAAAAACAGGATTTGAACAGTTTCTTTAATGTATTGATTCCTAAATGATGTCCTTTTCTTCAGTCATTCAATCCTCCCCTCCATAAGGTTTTCCTGTGACAAAAACCCAGGGCACCCCTACTCCCCACTGCAGTCCCTCAGGCTGGTATGCCAAGCCCATGCCATCCAACCCTACCTGTGTTCTGTATCTTGTATTCTACAATTTCCTCAATCCTTTTTTTCCCCAAGTTTGAGCCGAACTCCTAGACTTTGGGCTTTCATAACATTCCTGAATTTTCCCTTTTCCAGGGTTGTGGCTAAGCTGCTTCCGCTACTTGAATCTGCTTGTTGACACCTTATTTACCCCATACAGGAAGCAGTATGGTCTTATGGTTAAGAATGAGCATGCTGGTGCCAGACTCCTTGAATTTGATTCCTGACTCCATCACTTATTAGCTTTATGACCTCGGGTAATTATTTAACTGATCTATGCCTCAGTTTATGCAACTATAAAATGGGAATTATAATAAGACTGAACTTATAAGGTTAGCTTGAACATTGAGAGAATTAATAAGTTTAAAGTACTTTGAACAGTTGTGGCATTCAGGAAGCACTCAATAAATGTTACTCACTTTTATTATATGTCGAGGTCCATCTCAAAGACAGCATTTCCTCAAAGTCCTCTCAAAAATCCCCAGTCAGAATTCTGTGCCCCTCTAGTACTTTGTACTCCTGCCACAGTGCTTACCAGAGTCTGCCTTGGTGCAGAACAATCTGCATGTGTACCCCAGTGAACCCCACTAGACAGAATACTCCTGGAGGTTGGAGGTCCTGGCTAACATCTTTGGATCTCCCACAGGACTTAGCAGGTACTTTGTAAATAGTTAAAATAATGTAAGTGTGTTAAATAAAGTGAAGTTATTACAAAACGCTCATTTGGAGAAGTTAGACTTTTCTAAACACTAACGTGAGTTCACTCTGATTTATTCACTTAGCTGCCTTAAAAATGAGGCATGTTTGGCTTCACTTAATTAAGCTATCAAGTGATGCTGTTTCTTAGAGGAAAGCAGTGATTCAAAAGAGGAAAAAAAAAGTATTGACTTAAAGTGGGACGTGATGTGATCTCGATCAACATTAAATGGCAAAGCAGTCAGTTCTGGGCAACAGAATGTCATTCAAGACATTTTGCAAAATAAAATCCACCCTACTGATACCTGTAGCTATTCAGCACTCTGGCTCCTTTTAGGAAATGCGCTATATGCTGTAGTCTTGGCAACAACAAGATAATAGGGAATAAATATTTTATCATTGAAAAGGCTCTCTGGTTTCCTCTGAATAAAAGACCATCTCCAAGCTGTCTTATTTATTCAGTTCCTGAATGCAGTCCATGCCAGGGGACTTAACCTTTGTGCCCAAGAGACACTACAGAGGCGGGCTCTAGAAGCTGCTCTAGGGTGACAGACAGATGGATGCCGAGCACGCCCAAGTCAAACAAAGCAGAAGAAACCAGACCCTGAGCAATGGAGCTGGTTGTCCTCGGCCTGTGGGCATCCAGACTTCAGCAGGAGTTTTACTGAAGCCAGAGTTTATGAGACACACCAGGACCTCTGATGAAGTTGTGGTCAGTGAAAATAGGTATTTCCAGTGATGCAGCTCCCCCATGAACTCAATGAATGTAAATGTGAACTAATGGCAGGTAAGGGAAGCATTCAATTCTGTAGTTTTTATGTAGTACTGGTCAACTAGGGGCCTCCTTTATGCTAAAAAGGATGGTATATATCATATATAGACATATATATGAATGATATGTAACATATGGGTAATTTCATGTATACTTTTTATGAGAATGTCACAAAATTTTCTCTTTTGAAGAGCATAATACAGTCTTTAGGTTAGATAAAACATTGTATTGATAGGTCTTATTTTAGTGCTAAAAGTGTTTCAGTCATTTTATGCTGTTCATTATACCTCTGTGATAAGTATGTAAAGATAAACATAATCAGCTATTGTCTCTTATAAAGGTGTACTAGGGAATAAATAATTTATCTAGAATGAAGACTGGAACCAAAATTCAAAAAAATATTTCTTTGTTCTCAATCCATGCTTCATGGGTACAGACTACCTAGTAGAGTGTCTATTAATGAGGCTAGTTCACACCCAAATCCACAATATGTACTTTGTATTTTTGTGTATGCATGCCATACAGGCAATGGCTTGTCAGCACAAACTAGCATGTCCCATGGTCTCTGAATTGCCTTAAGCACCCTGAACAGGCTGAGTGTTCTGATCAGAAAGATGAGGCTCTGAGGGCTGAAAGGAGGGCAGAGATAATGACACTCATGACAAGCATACCGAGCAAAACACACTATCCACTGACAAGTAAATCAATACATATGTAATATTACAGAAAAGCCATGAAGAATGGGAAAAGTGCTAGAAGATAGAATATACCCAAATGTAGCATCAGTACTTCAAAGCAGGGGTAAAGCAGGGTCTACAAACTAAACTAGTGAGTTAATGTACATTCTAGACCAAACTCCAGAAAGGAATATTAAAACAAAGTTTTTCTATAGACTTAAAAAAAAGTGCTGATTACTACTGGAAGCTACCATGGGGTCAAAAAGAAAAAAATCATGCTAGATTTGTTGTATTTCTTTTTGGTGAGGATAAATTTAAATGGGAAATCAGTGGGCTAGAACATACACTTGAATTCCCACAGATACTGGACAGAGTTTCTCCCGACTGCTTTGAAGTGACAAGGGGGAACTATGCCAGATGACAAATGGTTAGACTGGATTATCACTACTGAATATCCAGAACTGTATGTAGACTTCAGGTAGGTGACATATCCCAGAAGGTTAAGTTGAGCCTTAGACACTGGGAAGACTTAGAACAAAATAACTCATTTCCTGAAGTTAGAATTGAGTGGGACTAGACTGAGTTGTCCCAGAAGGGGGTACTTCCCCATCTGGAGGTGTTCAAGCTGCTGCTGGAGACCCTGCTGGTCCTGGGTCCATAGAGATCCAAGAGTCCACCTGGAGGTCACCTGATGTGACATCCCAGCTCTGCCATTTCTCACAATCTGTGATTCTTTAGAAGGTATTCATGAACTATGGAGATTTTATGAAACCAGCTTTGATGTGTTGGAAAGGCAG